GGTGGGGGAACTGAACTTCCTGTCAGCTAAGAGGAGACTCTATGGCAAGGGGAGGGTTTTCTAGTTGTCTCCACAATCGATAGGGCTTCCGGTTATGACAGGTAGAGGAAAAAGTACGCCACGCTAGGAGGAGGAGACTCTATGGTGGGGGAACTGAACTTCCTGTCAGCTAAGAGGAGACTCTATGGCAAAGGGAGGGTTTTCTAGTTGTCTCCACAATCGATAGGGCTTCCGGTTATGACAGGTAGAGGAAAAAGTACGCCACGCTAGGAGGAGGAGACTCTATGGTGGGGGAACTGAACTTCCGGGCAGCTCCAGAATTGAACAGGGGGCTTCCGGTTAGGACCTTTGTGGCTCCCGGTGTTTTCTTTTCTGTGGGAAACGGGTCCAAATGGCTCTTTGAGTGTTTAAGTTTGCCGACCCCTTTACTAGGGCAGTGATGGCTAACCTTTTTGTCGTCACGTGCCAAAAGCATGTGCACACGCATGACACTCCCACGTGTGCATGCACCCATAATTTAATGCTCAGGCAACATACACACACCGCCCCCTGCGCATGCACGCACGACTCCCCTGCTCTTTCCCATATCCCGAGCATGCGTTGCAGAGACCCGAAAATCAGATGGCTGGTGGGAGGCGCACACGCATGCACAGTGGAGCTGAGCTGGGGCCACAGCTCGCGTAACTGCAGTGAGGGCTCTGTGTGCCCCCCGTGGCATGTGTGCCATACGTTCGCCATCACGGCCCTAGGGTAGTAATTTTTGTAATTCTTGCCCTAAATTGTTACAGGAATCAAACATTCAGATGGAATCTGGTAACCTATGAAGGAAGAAGGCACATGCCATGACGGTTCTGAAGAAAATTGGTGGTTGCTATCAAGCCCAGTTGAAGCAACTAGTTAATGCAACAGGATCCTCCCACCCCACCCCTTTGAGGGAAAACATGAAACAGAGAAAGACCTTGAACATGAGGCTACCACATGAAAGATGTCACATTTAATTAGACTGGAAGGAGGTTGTTTCACAGACTGAACAACAAGAAGTACAGATTCCACTAGTACAGACACTACATAATTCAGGGGTGAACTGTTGAGTTTTTGTGTCTTCTTTGAACGTGGATGTATTTCTGCAGACATTTCATTACTAGGTTAGATTATCAGGGCATGGAAGAATGATGACATCATTGAGCCTAGTAATGAAACGTCTGCAGAAGGCCACCCAAGCTCAAAGAACACCATGAACCCAGCAATTTACAAAACAGAGCAAATTACCTGCCACAATAAAGGAACAAGTAGCATTCCTTTTGGTCCTAGCTCAGTCTGGGACTGAAATTCTGCTGGGTGATTATTTTCATTGGTGCCCTTTGGAATGCATAGATTTCATTCTGTTTATTTATTTGTATTATTGTTGTTTCTATGCTACTCCACTCCAAATGGCTTTGAGCATTCTGCAGTAAAAATAAGGATTAAAATAACAGACCAACAAAAAACCACAATGATACAATCCAAAAGAGAGGGGGGGAAGGGAAGAGGGGGAGTGAGAAAGAGATAGAGATGGATGGATGGATGGATAGAGATGGATAGATACTCTTCCAAATCTCGATGGAGAAATTCATTTTGGAGCAGGTGATTTGCAGTATAAGCAGGTCATAAGCCATGTAGGACTTTACAGGTAAGAAATTTAGTGTCTCGAACTGCACCTGGAAAATTCAGTTCCAAATGTAGAGGCGTTGTATTAGTCAAGCTAAACATGTTCATCACTGCCTGGCTACTGCATGCTAAACCACTGCAAGCTTCCAGAGGCTCTTCAAGGGCAGTTGCGTTTAGACCAGTGGGGAAAATCAAAAAATCTTACTACCAGTTCTGTGGATGTGGCTTGGTGGGCATGGCAGGGGAAGGATACTGCAAAATCCCCATTCCCACCCCACTCCAGGGAAAGGATACTGCAAAATCCCCATTCCCATCTCACTCCAGGGAAAGGATACTGCAAAAATCCCCATTCCCAACCCATTCGAGGGGAAGGATATTGCAAAATCCCCATTCCCACCCCACTCCAGGGAAAGTTTATGCAAAATCCCCATTCTCAACCCCCTCCAGGGAAAGTATACTGCAAAATCTCCATTCCCACCCAACTCCAGGGAAAGGATACTGCAAAATTCCCCACCCCACTCCAGGGAAAGGATACTGCAAAATCCCCATTCCCACCAGACTCCAGGGAAAGGATACTGCAAAATCCCCATTCCCACCTCACTCGAGGGGAAGGATACTGCAAAATCTCCATTCCCAACCCACTCAAGGGGAAGAATACTGCAAAATCCCCATCCCCACTCCACTCCAGGGGAAGGATACTGCAAAATCTCCATTCCCACCCCACTCCAGGGAAAGGATACTGCAAAATCCCCATTCCCACCCCACTCCAGGGGAAGGATACTGCAAAATCCCCATTCCCACCCCACTCCAGGGAAAGGATACTGCAAAATCCCCATTCCCACCCCACTCCAGGGGAAGGATACTGCAAAATCCCCATTCCCACCCCACTCCAGGGAAAGGATACTGCAAAATCCCCATTCCCACCCCACTCTAGAGAAAGGATACTGCAAAATCCCCAATCCCACCCCACTCCAGGGAAAGGATAATGCAAAATCTCCATTCCCACCCCACTCCAAGGAAAGGATACTGTGAAATCCCCATTTCCTCCCCACTCCAGGGAAAGGATACTGCAAAATCTCCATTCCCACCCCACTCCAGGGAAAGGATACTGCAAAATCTCCATTCCCACCCCACTCCAGGGAAAGGATACTGCAAAATCTCCATTCCCACCCCACTCCAGGAAAAGGATACTGCAAAATCCCCATTCCCACCCCACTCCAGGGAAAGGATACTGTGAAATCCCCATTCCCACCCCACTCCAGGGAAAGGATACTGCAAAATCTCCATTCCCACCCCACTCCAGGGAAAGGATACTGCAAAATCTCCATTCCCACCCCACTCCAGG